GAGCCGGTTCGGGCCGGTCCCGCCGTGGCCACGCCCCCGCGGGGTCCCGATGGCCCCGGGAGAGGTCCCGGTGCTGCCCCGGGAGAGGTCCCGGTGCTGCCCCGGGGACGGGGGGGCTCAAACACGTGCCCGTCCCTGCTGAGCCCCCGGACACACCGGGCGCGGCCCCCCCGGGCCATGGAGCCCCTCGGGGCGCACCGCGGGCAGAGGCGTGCGGGAGCCAGCGCGTGCTCGGGCCCGCGGAGTCCCGGGGCAGCGCCGGGAGCCGCCGCGGCTGTGCCGAAGGCGCGCGGGAGTTCACGGAAGGCTCACGGGGTGAGCCAGGGCCGCCCGCGGGCCCCCCGCACAGCGGGATGTGTGGGAAGGGAACCGGGCAGCGCTTCCTCGGCGCGGGATGCTCAGGGGAGACAATGGATCCTGCGGACACGGCGGGGCCGGTGCCAGGACAAACCGGACCGGCTGCGCGGGGCCCTGCCCCACAGCCCCCTCCGGGCCTCGGCACAGCGCCCACGGCCCCGCGCTCTCCACGGGGATCTGCCTGCTCTTGTAAACTCCTGAATCCTCCCAGAGCATTTCTTGCCCACGTCTGCCCCCAGCACGTCCTGCCCCCCCTGCACTGGGGGCATTCGGCAGATGGGGCTCCCCGGTGCAAAAATCGGGCAGAATGTGGAGCCCACAGCACCCTCGGCCTGAGGAGCTGGTCCTGATCTGGGCAGCCTCCAGTGTCCAGCACTGTTGGGAACTCCCAGGGAGGGGGAGAGAGGCTGCATGGAGCTCCAGGACCTCCCTGCCAGGGGGACAGCAAGGGGCAGGTTCTGCAGGGCCAAGGCTGGGGTGGTCCCTGGCCCTGGGGGCAGCTCACAGTGCTGCTGGAGCATCACCCTGAGGGCAGCAGGGAGGGAACCAGCTGCAAGGAGCCAGCAAAGGCAGAGGGCACGTGGGCACAGTAATTCGTACCCCTGTGGGTGGGGGAGGCTACTGGAGGTGCCCAGAGAAGGCCCCCAGAAAAGGAGGGGGGAGCTGGCTGTGAAGGGGGGGCAGCCAGGGCTGCTGCTCCGTGCTGGCTGGTTGTGACCTTGGAAGCCGTTTGCCAGGCCTGAATAAAGCGACAATAATCCTATTCACCTTTTAGCCTCATTTCCTAAGGCAACAAAGCACATGCCCTCTCCGCGTGCAGTCGCAGGTGTCACTCAAGCCCTGATCCCATTTGCAGGACTCCAGCCGGGGGGAAGTTTTGCTCATTACCCCTCTGATGAGCTTTGTGCTGGGGGGCAGGAGCCTCAGGCAGGCGGTTTGCCAGGGCCTCATCCCTGCCCTAGCCCCAAGGCACTGGCGGCAGGGCTGCTCCCCCCATCCCAGCGGGGGAAGGCAGCAGCAGTGCCCCAGGCTGGAGTGGGGCGGGCTGGGAGCTCACACATCCCAACCCCTCTGGGTCTGTGGGCTCAGGACACACCCAACCATGCCCAGATCAGAGCAACTGCGAGGGCCCCAGGCACCCACTGCACACCCATCAGCCGCGCTCAGCTGGGCACTGCCCGGGCAGGTCTGCTGCCTGCAGAGGAGCAGGAAGGGAAGCACCTTCCCAGTGCAGCACTGGAGGGTTTGGCCCAGGCCAAGAGACCATGTGTTGGCCGCAGGTCTGGGGCAGAGGCACCTAATGCTGCACCCTCCCCTTCCTGGGAAGGGCAAAGACGCTCTCCAGGCCAGAGGCAACCCTGCCCAGACACTCCTGCCTCCTCTGCAAGGTGGGAAGAGGGTTGCTGGGAGACCCACGCTGCCCTGCAGCCCTGGGAGAGCAGCCAGCCCATCCCACCACAGCTCCATGTGGGGGCTGAAGGGCAGGAGCTGGTCCACGTCTGGCATGGAAACTCCTGGAACAGACCAGGCAGAGCCTCGCTGATGCACCACGGCCTTCCCTAGAAGAACTTTATTAAATAGTTTCCAAAAAAACAGAAGCAGAAAGACTCAGCATGACCCTGTCCCTCCCAGCTAGTCAAAAACTACAAACAGACCACCCCCATGCCCCCAGTGCTGGCAGCTGCCGGGCAGGAACTGCCTGGTGCCCTACGAACACAGCTCTGGCATCACAGGCAGGGGAGGCAGGAAGGTCCCACAGGGACAGCCCAGAGGGCTGCAGGGTGAGCCCCAAAAGGTGTTGAAAATCACACAATGCTCACATGCTGTCCCCCCAAAAGCAACCACTCACTGCCACCACAAGCCCCCCAAACCACTCCTCCCCTACAGGGCTGAAGAGGAGCTGAACATGCCCAAACAAGGGGCAGCCAACATCAGCTCTGGCTGTCACTCCTCAGCTAGAGACACCAGTGCCCCAGTTTCTGTGGCTTTGTGAACACCTAAACACAGCTTCCCCCTTCCCCCCCCCTCTGAAGTTTATAAAATAGGGGGTTTGTTTTTTGCTTTGCCTACAAAGACAGTGATTTCCTTTGCAACAGCAGAACAGTCTCCCTGCGAGGTAGAGAGTTAATTTCAGGGCTGACAGATCCTAAATTCAAACCCGTTTGTTCTAGTTGAGGTAAAATTCAGTAGTTTATAGTAAGTTCTGCAATGCTAGAGGGCCATCAAGATTCCTCATTGCCAGAGTCATCCTCATCACCATAACAGCTCTCTGCTTCCTCCTCCATCTCATCATCCTCATAATAGTCATCATAGAAGAGGTCTGAGCCCTCATCTGAGGCTGGTACCTTGGTCTTCACACAGTACTCTGCCAGCGTGGTGGGGACTTTCACACCATCCCGCTCAGCGTCCAGTTTGGTGCCCAGCACTTGCTTCCTGGAGGGCCAGAAGTGAGGGGTGAGGACAGAGCTCTGCACCACAGCCCTCCAGATCCCATGTCCCACAGGATGCCAGCCCAGCCAGCACTGCCAGGCCTGGCTCAGCACACACCTGATGATGTCCGTGTACTCCCGGTCCTTCCCTTTGCTCTCCTTCCACTTGCGGTACATCACAGAGGCGTCCACGTTGGCTGGGGAAAACGTGTTGGGCTCATTCAGCAGTGAGATCACACTCAGGAGAATGGTCCTGGCATCGATAAACATGAGCAGGTCAGAGCCAAGGCGGGTCAGCAGCCCCCCACACCCCAGCAGTGCCAGCAGCCCCCTGTCCCAGCAATGCCACTGAGTCCGTGGGCTGAGAGAGCCCTGTGCTGCCCACAGCAAGGGAAGGTCCCAGTGAGGAGGAGCAGGCCAGGCAGGGGACACCAGCACATGGGCTGTCGGGCTCACATGCAACCCCACACAAGCTCTGCCTGTTCTTCAGCAAAGCCCACAGCCCAAGTGCCTTCAACAGTCCCCTGGAATCTCCTTCAGGCCGTCCCCACCCTCCCACCGTCCCACCCCTGCCCTCAGCTGAGCCCGCAGCTCTCACCGCACGTTCTGGGTGGGGTTCCAGCGCTCCGACGGCAGCTCCCCACTCTGCGGGTCATCCACAGGTGGGTGGAGGATGGAGATGCAGACATCACCAGTCTGAAAGCACAAGAGAAACAGAACCCTCAGGAGCTGATGCCCCAAGCACCCTTCAGTAGCAGCTCCTCACTCACTCTTCCCTTCGGCTGAAGCCACGTGAGGCAACCCCAGCTGTTCCTTCAGTCCCAAGGAAGGGGCACCAGAGTTGTTGCCGCAGCCTCAGGCCTTGGGCTGCCAGCACTGCACGGGTCAGGCTGCCCGGTGCTGAACACTCCGTGTACCCAGCACAGCCCTCCTGCACCCCCTGTGCCCAGAGCCCCGGGGCCTGGCACGTTGCTCGCCCTGCAGCCACTCGTGGCACAGGCACGACATCCCTGCAGGCTGAGCGTGGGAGCTGTCGGGCCTGGGAAGCCTGGCTGGCCTGGAACCTGCACTGGGACAGCAAACGGCTGTTGTGAGCTCATTAGTGGCATTCCCAGTGCCAGGCAGGCATTGCCAAAGGCACTCAGTGTCCAGTGCCAGACAAAGGCTGGCATTCGCATCCAGTGTCATTGCAATAGATGCACACATGTCCACTGCCTGTCCAAGACTTTCCTCGCTGTCCTGGGGGACCTACCTCATAGATATTGGGGTGCCACATTTTGGTTAAGAACCTGAAGGCAGGAGGAGAGTAGGGGTAGTCGATGGGAAACCGGAGACGAGCCTGCAAGGAAACAATAAGGAGACATGAGGGGACCAGCTTGTGAGAAGGAAGGGACGGAAACCACAAGGCTCCTGACAGCTCTGGGAAAAAGGAACCTCTGCCAAGCCCAGATGGGCTTCTGCTGGCCTCCATGCCAGCTGGCTCTGTAAGCAGGGCACCAGCCCCAGGGGCAGGACAGACACCGGCCCTGCAGGTGCCCTCCCACCACACAGAGTGGGTAAGTGAATGGGCTGTGAGGGTTGTCAGCTCCTTCCCCTCCA